GATGGATATAGCTATATGCCTATTCCATGAAATGGGGAGATGTACCCGTGCCATGACACCAGCCGGACATGTCTTCGTCTTTCTCTTCTTCACAATCCGGTCTGGGGTGGAAAGGTTCGGGTAAATAGACCGGTGCACTAAGTCATTCTGTAAGGAGGGTCTTGTGGAGAAGGCTAAAAGTTTGATGTTGTTTCTTTGAAAGAACTCATTGAATTCATGTTCATCCTCAATCACCACGTCGCATAGGAAGCCTTTCCAGCGCCGCCAGGAGAATGGCAAGGCCAAAGAGAACCCAGAGGCCCTGTCCCAGCTTGGTGCGGAGCATCCGCGGAACCGCGAAGGGCCCCGTTTGGGGGAAATGCAGATTCACTACCAGCACCCTCCAACAGGTGTTTCCTGGAGATGACAGATGCCCCAGAAACCAGCTATGCGGGTCTCCAAACAGCCTGTTGGAGGGTCCTTGTATGTTTATATTTTTCAATTGGTTGGCTTGGACTTTGCCTGGAAACTGTTGGAAAATGTCATGGTTGCTGGATAGCTTTGTCACGTCCGATTCCGATTCCGTATTACGGGGGTTGGACACGTTTGGACCATGGGAGAGGAAGTTCAGATGTGAAGCTTTTACATCATGATATAGACCGAGTTGTATGTGCCATGTTTTGATCAAGTACCTGCCCAGTCCATACTTTGTCAAGTGCTTGTAAACAGATAAATTGCAAGACCAAACAAATCAGAAAAAAAATGTCAGCGTACTGTCAGAGTCCCTCAGATGCCTGCATCATTTCTCAGAAGTTGGCCAGTCCCAAACCAATGCCTTGTTTCTGTTTAAACGGCGGCTTTTCGATAAAGGGACTTGATATGTTGTCCTAGAAGCTTCTGGAGTAGCATGATGTAGCACTAGTTTTGGCATATTTGCCCAACACGTTTCAAGGATCAGGGCGACCTCTAGCACCATGTCTCCTCTCGTTTCAGGTCAACATGCTACTTGACAACTCAGTGCTAATTTACCTATTCATTCGCGACACCGCAAGTGTGCAAGTCACAAGCACACTGTCCATTCTCCTGTGTATGCCTGAACCTTGACCCACAACGCGTTAGGGGTACCTGACCACACCTGTGCTGGTCCAGGACTGCGATTTAGCTGTGAGTCCTACTAACTCAAACTCACCTCCCCTTTGTGTGGGAAGTGAAACTCCCTCAGGGTGACAGGGTGACAATGCAGTTCATACGAGGGCCTGTAAAGGTTTTGCACAATGAAGTAAAGCCGCATATAGCCGCCATGCTTTGGTGCTTTGGAAGTCAGGATATGTGGGCACGTGTGTGCTTCTCATTGTTTGGGATATACCCGAAACCTGGGGCGGCGGTTTGTTCTTGAAGTGTGCATTTGTCTCGCTTCGGTGCCATACCTGGCATCCCGCGAAACCAACGCATTCAGATCACGGTGCGTCGCACGCGCAGATGACGGAAGAAATGAAACAGATGGCGGCCATGGGCCTTCCTGTGAGCTTCACAGCCAGCGAGCAGCAAGGCGCCACAGTTGGTGTTCGTTTTCCATGTGAACGACACGATACGTTCGGGTCAAGTCATCCGTTCTTTCGTTTTGGTGTTTTGTGTTTGTGTGCATTTGGGTTTCAAGGTCTTTAGGAGGTGTGATTTGTATCGGTCACCGGTGCAAAGGCCTGAAACCACTCGTGTGTAGCGCTACACAAGGGCTGTGCTAACTGAGAGTCACGTGTTGATCTACTCTTTGGGTTGATGCCATACCTGATGAGTTGGGTGAAGGCTGGCTATCCGTTAACCGTTAACCTCACTAGTTAACTCGTTTAATCAAGATACTGCAAGTCTCTAGATCATGGAATATATATATATATATATGGGGGGCTTGCTGTGCAGATCACGGTCCTCAGACTTGATGATCCTTTTCGATAAAACACCAACAGAATCTCAAGGGCTTGAAAGGTGTGACCCCCAACCTTTCACCCACAGGATCATGCTACACGCACTGTATTCATCCCAGCAGGAGATGTTCCAAAAAGGCAACAGAATCCGTACACCAACCATGGGTGATGTCCGTGTATCCCCCAGTCGCAGGTCGAAGTGAAGTGGAACGGCGTGTCTTAAGTCCAATCATTATAAGGACATTCAAATACTACTGTATCAATGAACATGTTATTTTTTCAATACGATACAACAAGTACTTCAAGCATAGTGTTATTTTAATGTTTTTGATGCTCTTTTTAAAACAGAAACGGTATCAACTACCTTTGGACCCTTCCCCAAGCTGCACGCTCGGGACCCACGGGCAGGCGGCAGCGACTCGGAGGAGGCAGTCGACCCGATCCAAGGGTCGTTCTTCCGGTCGAAGGAAGACATGGGTGGCCTGGTTCCTACTAGCTCCTTGCTAGGCGATGGCCTCCAACCTACCGATGGCCTCGCATGTTTTCCGGAAGTTGGGATTTGCTTCGATCTCTTGCCCTAGGGATCCAGTCGTACCTTCACAGAAGGTACGACTGGACCCTCCTGGCGCCTACATAACAGTGGTTCCAATCACCTTCAATCGCCTTGTGAGAAGGTACTTGGATCCCTAGGGTTGAGGTGAAATGAGTTGAATTTTCAAGGTGATCTCCTTCTACAACCTGCTATCCAGTAATCGACGTGATATGTTAGTTTCAAGTTTCAAGAGCTTTCCTTTCAATCGTCCAACTGCTGATCGAAATGGGCATAAATGCATAAATGGGCCAAGTATGGTCAAGTCACTACCATCCAAGACGAGAAATTTCTTCTAAATAGCGGCTGTTCTGTGGCATTTTGGTCCTTCCGGATTTGCAGTGTGTGCTTTTTCCACGACGAACACGCAGAATCAGTCTTCTCCAACATGTGACTGACACTTGGGAGACTTCGCAGCTGGTAGCCTATGTTCATCTTTTTTGCTATCAATGTGCTGTGTCTTTTCTTGAGCTTCACATGTGCTGCCGCTTTCAATGTGGCTTCCATGTGCTTTTGCTCGCTAAACTGGGACAGCAAAGGCTTGAGAACACAACCAACAAAAAGCCATGTTCACATGTTTAAATGGTCAGAAGTATGGGTCTTTGTGGGACACATGTGCAGTGTATTTTTTTATCCCACCATTGAGCGACGTCAAAATACCATCAGCAGTACCATCAGCTGATTCGCCGCCGAATGATCAAAGCTGTTTGATTCGCTGGTGGATGCCCTTCACCCACTTCAGGAGGAAGAAGAAGAGGACGAGTGAGCTGATTTTGCCCCCCAAAACCATGCCGTGGTGAAGGCCCTTCAGAAACCTTGGATGCTCCATGAAGAGGCAGCTGCCGTGATTCACTTCCCTCAAAACAGATCATTGCATAGAATGTAATATGGAAGACGTAACGTACTACAGCAGACGCGAATCCAGTTAAGAATAAAATAGATGTTGGATCAAACAGGGCGAACTTAGGTGCACTGAGGCCCAAGGATAGGTGAGAGCAATGGTCTGAGCCTTTTTGTACAAAGGAACGTGAACCATCTTAAATTGCTTCTTATGTTCCTGGTGCGTCTGTTGGGACTTCCTGTGGTCTTGGGGCCTAAGTCCGTGAACAGAGCGGCATTGCCTCATTTTAAGATGTTTGTGACATCCGCAACTTTGTGGTCTCCAGAAGGGTTTCTGCATGTTTCTTGCAGAACTCCCAGTGCAGGCGTGCTGAACGCCGGCCCATGGCCCTGGCGATCTTGAGCAAGCAGATCAGGGCATCAAAAAGGATCATCAATGATAATCATTTCTTTTTTTGCGGACTTGGTGTAGATCCCACACATAGAAGTTTGTTGGACTGGGGTCTTTGGCATCTTTGGCAGCTGGGAGATGCTTCAATCTATTTACTGTACGTTCATCTATGACTAATAATACGTGTCCATTTTCTTGTCATTGCATCAAATTGGCCTGCCAAAAGTGCAGTTGTGTGATCCTTCAGTAGATGGAATATGAGACATAAAGATGCCAGTAATGCAGGATATATTTGTTGCAACAGGTTGCACCTTAGAATGCAGAAAAGTAAGCTTCCAATAGGCGCACAACATGCACTTCCAGTTGTGAGAGGGGGTGTTCTTTTGCAGGTGCATGCTGTATCTAAAGGCTTTGAGTTGACAGGTCAATCACACTCGCGGTTGGGTTACAGGTTGGTGGCAAGCCAAGTACTTTGTCGGGGTCGAACGCCCGATCACTTGGATGTATTTTGGACCAAATCCGGGATTTTGCCTTGGTGCCCCAGCCGGTGTTAGGCCAGGCCATCGACTTCGCTCGAGGCCTTCGCGATTCAGGCGCCTTCCAGGGACCGGGACCCCAAAACAGATCGCCACGACGCGGCGCCATCGGGAACGGACGCAGCGATCGCCGCCACCGAAGGAACTGGAACAGGTCAACCAAAGGCTCGGACCGCCTCGGAGGTCCACGACGGAGTACAGACCACATCGGTACGGCTCCCATTGTACGTGCCACGACGACGGGAGTGTCTTAAGGCTGACGACGACCACTCACAGGAACGATATTTGAGGATTGGGCGATATATTTATGGTTTGGGTCGGCCCATCCCCTGTTTGCTTCGGCAAGAGGTGTGGGAGGACCTCTCCAAGAAGTCGCCAGAATTCTGCGCAGGACGTTGGTATTTCCATGCATTCGATTTGAGGGATCTTGATTTGCACCCGGCACTTGCTGCAATTTTGGCTCCCAGTGGCACTTGGAAAAACCCTTCCGCTAGCGTGCCGACTGCTTCATGCTTGGACGGTTTTCCCTTAAAGGGAGGCCCCAGCTTACATGTTGAAGCGAATACAAAAAGATCATCGCTGGATTACACTGAACTGCATGCAGGGTTCTTTCAACCACAACCTTCAGTAACTCTTTTGTCACATACTTCAAATCAAGGTGTGCACTCCTGCAATGAGAATGTAAAGAGACACTTGAATGTCCCACAAAACCAATTCCGGTAAAACCTCGATTCCACCAGATAGCACGGGGATCCAGCGCCCCGTGAAAAAAAGAACCATCGCTGACCTTCATCGACTCTGACCGTCCATGTCCATCCGAAGACTGACCGGGCTCACCGCCCTGGCACGGAGCTCCCAACCCGATGGCGACCGGGAGAGCGGGCGAGCTGAGTAGACGGAGACCAGACAAAGGAGTTCCCCTACGCAGACGTGGAGCCAGTGAGAACACCTCTTTTACAACCGTTCTTTTCTTTGATCAATGATCAACCAGTGAAAGGCCAGTGAATGATCATTGGCCAGTGAATGTAAAGATGAAGAATGGGTCTTCTTGATTGCAATTGCAAGGTCACCGAGGGCTGGGCTTGTGACATTTGCAAACTTGGCTGACAAGGAAGATAGAGCGTGTCCCAGGAAGATAGAGCTCCTGTTGGAGAACCATGTATGCGTATACAATGTTTTTTTGGAATAGAGCGCGCCCCTCCACTTCGAGTATTTATATAATATATATATATATATAATTATACAGATACCAACAGGGCGTAAACAAGCAGTCAAAGCCTGTACTTGTACGAGTCCAATCTGTTGACAACAGTTCATTTGTATTGTGCAAATCCCAGTTTTGAGTGCAAAGATGCCTCCCTTCCAGCATTCCCATACATTGCCTCAGTGGAGGATGATCGCAACTCAGTGGTAATTTGAGGGGAACCCATCCCTACTAAATTAAAAAGGGTCTGCAAATTGGGACTGGAATCGCTACCTGGTCATTCACGCGAGGCCTTTTTTGTTGCCCCAACTGGCGAGGGGATGACTTCGCTGAAAAACCTTTGTTGGGTGGTCTAGCCTTTTTCAGCACCAGCGTGTTTTTTTTCACCTCCAACCTGCACGTTTTTTTGTTGACGCCCAGGTCGCTTTGAGCTCTTCCTCCGCAGAGGAGTGGATCTTCTTTGGTTCGGCGCCTGACGGTGAAGCCACGACAGAAAGCTCTTCGTTGTTTTGGTTGTGATGCCAGATATGCTTAGCTTACGTTATGGCATATCAAGCATTTCAAATGATTTGTATGGGGCCAGTGCACCCACAAGCCGCCAAGCACATATGTTTGGAGGTTACTCGGTTGCTCGATTGCTTGCTCTTGGCAGTGTGTGATTGTTTGTGGCACAGTTTGTGCTCAGAACGTAGGTGTTCTTGGACGAAACGATCACTTCCCATCAAAAAAGGGCGCGATTAGCTCAACGGGTCCAAGGGCGGCAGTTGCTTTTGCGCGAGAAGCTGCCAACAATGAGCTTTCCCTGTATCCAGTGGTTTCTTGGACAAGTGTCCCTGGATGCTTTACGATGCCGAAGATGCTCAGTGGTCGAACTGGAGGTTTGAGCGTGACTGTTAAGTGTTCGATCAGTTTGGCACGTTGCGCGGATGTTCTGCGTGAAGTCTGAGTTCTTCTTCTACAACTCAAACATACGTATGCTTGGTGACGCCGTGTTCTTTTTATTGTGATAAAGCGCGGTGCCAAAGCAACCACAGTTAGACAATGCGGGCAACTCTCTGCTGCAGTGCCGTCAGGAAGTAGGACCTGGTGATGGCGCGGAAGTGTAGAAGGCATTTTCCGGGTTGCAGAATGAAAGACAAGCTGGGCGAGAGTGAGCCGTGGCCACTTCACCATCACGTTGACGTTCTCATGAGCGAGATTACCACATTGCTTTCTACCCAACAATCATACACTATTGTATAATTATTGGTCGTTGCATTCATAGTGGGGATAGCCTCACATTGAACAACCACTTTAGGTATATGGCTGTGTATTCTAATAGGGAAACACCATGGAAACACCATGAAACACCCTATTTAAGCTACACACCGTACCTGGTACCGATCGATCCCAGATCGGCTCGCACCACCGGCAGGATGTGGTGGCTTCGTGTATCGCAGACTTCGAGGACGAATGAAGCGGATCGCGATTCGAAGTGGATCCCAGACACTCTAGAACAGGGTGTGGAGTGTTGGGTGTGGAGCAGTCTTAGTCTTCTGGGTGTGGAGTCAGGTTTAGTCTTTGCAGTTAGTGTTGGTATGTTTTGGTTGTTCTGTTGCTCGTTCTGATGCGCAGTTTGTGGGGTGTTTCAGGGTGATTCAGTTTTGTGCTGGGCAGGCAGTGACTGCAGTGGGTTTTAACGTGATGGTCCATGAGTGTATTGAGATCAGATCTAAGCAGCAGCCGCGGCTATTAGCGGATCCCCAGCCTGGCATACTCATAAATGTCCTCGCATTAGAGCCATTTAGTAACTGGAAAACAACTTGTGTTAGGAACAGTAGTAGACATATACAGTGTGATATTATGTGATCATGTTTGATAAGATGTTGGGGAAGGCACTCACTAGTAGTTCACCTGGCCAATATCACGACACCCTTTACAATCCCTTTCACACAAGCGCCCAGAGACTGCTCGAGACCCATGTCTTAGGCCTCAGCTTCATTGCTTTGACTGAAAGGATGAAGATTTGCGAAACTGTTCATTAAGCTAAACCAATATGTTTGCACTTCCGACTGTCCCTACACTGAGCTGTTGCGCCACGGGGGGTCTACTCGAACCTTCTAGGTAAAGTCTTTGTATCCCTATCTATTCTTGGCTTCCAGGGTGAGTCACAGGTATTCTTCCCTCAGCTCATTGGGTAAATCCGCAACTCCCCCTAGCTCCTTCTCGTTGGATCTAATGCGTCAGTCAACGCAGGTGGCCGACGAGTTGATGCTGCTACAGGGCAAGGCAGAGCATTTTCGGGTCCATAGAGAGAGGTGGTTTGTAAAGTGATAGGGCCTGAAAGTGTTCCAAAAAGCTGAACAAAAACGTAGTGAGGCCATCGCTATTAGGTTGGAAGCCATCGCCATGAGGTTGGAGGAATGGTTTTGTTGATTTCTAGAGGTTTACAGTGGATAGTCAAAAGTCTCCAAAGGGGATTCTTATATTCAATTTCAATATCTTGCACTCGGTGCTGGGACGATGGAGCCATTGCCTATACCTATGCTGGGAATCATGCTTCACCACCTGTTCCTAAGCTGCTCTGGTTGACCTTGGAAGACTACTGGCGGAGAAACATATCACTGATCACCCAAGCTGTGCAAGCCTGGCGGTCAAGCCATGCCTATCTATACTGTATACTGAAACTGAACCAGAACCAGGGAGGCAAACAAAAACAGACAGACACACACACAGAGAGATAGAGACGGAGACAGAGACAGACAAGTGAATCCCCTTTTAACTTTGCCTCGTAACTCATTTTTGCTGTGTTGGGCAGCTATCCGAAACAGCAATGCCCACGTTGCCCACGTCGGAACTCATTGGGCTTCAGGTGCACTTGCACTCCATGGCCTCTCGGTGAGAAACTCTGGGTGCCAGTTGAGGGAGACCGGGCATGGCAGTGCTTTCTCTCGCACTTTCTGACCCTTCTTGGGAGAATTGTTAGACCACTTGACAAGTGGGAACCAACTACATAATAAGCAACGGGAAGTCGTACGTTGCAATTCAGATGTTCGACAACTAAACTTGCAATTTGTTCTGCTGCCTGGTAGAGGATTGCCCTGTGCTGCCTGCTAGATGGTTGCCCTGGCGGCAGCTATACTGGGATTGTTTCTTTTTTGGGGTGCTTTTCACTCCCCGTGGTATCGGAACCACTGGTCAGACTGAGATGTGATATTCGATGGTTGTGGGATTGGGCATTCCCTCCAGGGTGTGGCCCAGTAACAGGAAAGGGCAAGAGAGCACACATATCACTTCTTGAAATGTCGACCTGCAACCTATAACCGAGCTTCCACTGGGCCCTGGTCAGATATACATGCGTCCGACGGTGGCCGATTCCGAGGAAGTTGATTCAGAGGGCGACAGGGCAGTCCTGGAGATGGAGAGACAGAGATTTGGGAAGTCCTCGCATTCTGCGGAGGTCTGGAACGAAGTCACCGGTGGAGTGGGCCGACCGACCCACTGGACCTGGAGAGAACACGATGGAGAAACCGACCTTTGGAGGTCTCCAACCGATGGATCGAAGTGGATCGGAATAGATCGAACACGGCATGTCATAGGAATTGAAGCATATATGACATAGTGTGAAAGCACTATATAAGTCATGTGAATACCATGGTAGAAATATCATGATAGAAGATCATATATGACATATGGTGTAGGAATTGAGCACGATTGTTGAGAGACATCGAAGAGTGACACCTCAAACATTCTCAAACTTTGCATAGTGTTGTTTGATTAAAAAGGCAAAGATCGAAGATGACAGATGGAAAACAAATGAACACATATTTTGTCATGAGTCAGAACGCTTTAGCAACACGATCATGGAAGCGTCATGGTCAAGAGGAGAAGGTGCGGTTTGGAGATGAGCTGCTATTAGCAGATCTAGTACTCTATCTAGTACTCGATCATGCATCATGTCAACTCTATTTGCAATGTCTGGAATTCCTAAGTTCTGCAGGTCGTGGGACGTTCGCTCAGCACCGGATGGCCCATCAGGACATCGACATCGGTGCCGCAACTGGAGTGGGTGTGCTCGAAGAGCAGCATGCGCACTACTTGGTGAATGTCTTTTGGCCCAAGCCACCGGAAGGCATGAGTTCACATGAGTTCCTAACGAGTTTGAGCCAAGATGAGCATTCCTACATTTTTGGTTGGTGAGTTGGGAGGATGCCCAGTCGTCGCTGGCGGTTCTGAAGATCCGTAGTAGGAAACTTGGACGGACCTGTGTTTGCTTGTTCTAGCCGCTATCCGAATGAATTTTGGGTCATTGGGAAGTGTTGAAGGAAAGGCTTGACTTGAAGGGATTGTCACCCAATGGATCCACTGGGACAGCAAAGACCAGAACTGTCCTCCAAAAGAGATGCGACGTTGAGTTCTGAACCAGGCAAAGCAGGCCCCCCCACTGTAAGGTCGTGCTTCTTGCAAGCAGAACTTGATCATATTATTGAGGAACAGTGTGATCGTTATTCTAGTGACTTCATCAACAAGGAACCACGCATCCTTCCAGTTGTAGTGGACCCCCCGGCTCTTTCTGTCGTCCATATTTGGGCTAAGCACTGAAAAGTCCAAACAGAAACGCAATGCTTCCACCAATAAGCTTTGCATGACAATGTCTTTGAACCTTTGGCCAAGCGGAAAGGGAGATCGGAAGTCTTTTATGCGTGTGTTGGAACGTTTGTGTGGGCGTTGGGGAACCAAGTTGAGACCTTTGTTATGTTCATGTTGCGTGATGCTCATCAGCCTATTTGGGGTCAAGAATGGAACATGGTGACATATGGCGGCGAAAGGCTGGTCAGAAACTGAGTTGTAACATGTTGAATCTTGGAAATCATATATTGAGTGGCATAACGTGTTTTTTGCGCGATGAATTAGCAACTCTTGCACTAACTTGCTATTGTACTTCCGTTTGTTTCGGTTTGTTTCGGCGCGCGTTCTGGATCAGATCCGACCATGAGACCCGGTTGGAGCAGTTGGAGAAGTTCCGCCGGTTGACTCAGAACCACTTCAACGGAAAACCCACTGAGATCTGCCGGCTGGAACAGGGCGGCGAGGGGTTCCGCCGAAAGGAACATGGTGGTCACAGTGATAGGAGCTGTGTCTCGTGGCATCTCGTGGCCAAGTTTGCATGCCTTTGCAGGGGGACGAAAAGGACAATGCCACAAGTGCTTGGTCCTCATTTGGACGCTTGAGTGGGGCAGCCATGAAGACCAGAGGCTTCGGTTTTCTCACAAGTGGTGCGCGGAGAGGTCCGCACAAGTTGTGCATGGAGTGAATGTTCCGTCAAGGACGGATACAATGTGCTCGGGCTGCCCTGCTCTTCTCCGATCGGCGACTCTGAGGCAGGAGTCTGTCAGCAACATGCGGCTGGGATGCTTCAGCAGGACAGGAGTTGTGAACTCTTTGTGGAGAAAAGAAAGCACTGTGGCTAAGAGATGGCGTTCCTGAATGTGATCCCTTTTCAACGATTGTGCTACAGTTGAGGCTTGCTTCAAGAGGCTGTGGCCATAAAGGATCCACTCGTCATCTAACAACAAGTGGTTTTTATGGCTACAGCTTCCGGCCAGGGAAACTAATCAGTCTCAAGGAATAAAGAGGTCGTGGCCGGCCGGGGGAGTCCATGAGTCATCTATCAAGATATTGTTGTCACAACCATGGCCGACCCGCAATGAACTTCAATGTTTTGCCGCAGTGGCCTCTGGGCGGTCCCGGTGGTCCATGTGCCCCGGAACCGAAACACTGCGGCCATGCAGCGATGGGCGAGGCGCCCACGACCCTACGGCATGGCATTGACTTGGGTGACCCTGCAAACCATCATGCCACTCTTGTGGCCCATAAAAATGCTGAACCACAGCCAGCCACTTGTGTGTAAATCTAAGTGGTGTTAAGCTCGCAAGAAGAAACTCATAAGAATCAGCCCTCCACAAAAAAATAACACTACCTCAAGTCTCCAAAGCCACATAGACTACACTTGACCATTTCCCCTGGTGTTTTGGACAAGCCTCGCTCGCCACGCTCGCCCTCGCTAAGGAGCTGCGAGAACCACAGATGCCGCAACTCTGGGAGCTTTGGAAGAAGCGGCTCGAGCCCTTAGTGTGGCCCACGAGCAGGTTGTCCAACCTTTTTGGGGGGGGCTTGGCTTTCCCACGACGACTCGACACAACGCGAGGAAAAGGATGAAAAGAACACGTTAACCTTTGTTTTTTTGTCCGAGGAAACCGAGCGAAACATAGTGAATCAACCGTGCCCAGCGGAGACCGGCCGAGGACGGTGGACCTTTGGGGTGGACCTTTATGAGTTCAGGATCTAAACGGCCAGAGCAGAGAAAGAAAGTTAAATCAACTAATAGCTTCTTGTTACTACTAGTAAGGCACTTGTTACTAGAAGCGATGCACTTGTTCCTAGTAGCTTCTTTTTACTAGAATATTCAATATGTAGCAAGAGATTGAATTTACCCAGCGTATACCAGACATCCAATGAAGAAAACAAGGGATTTGTTGGAGATCCGAACTCATTTGATCACAGCATACTATACCAGTATTTTGAGTCTTCAAGTACTTCAGGTGTGCAAGACAATGAATCAACACTAGTTGTCACTGTAAAAAAGAGTTTTGTTTGTTTTCGTCAAGGAACCACACTCAGACCGATTTCAATCGGCTCAAAGACAGGGTGAGACAGGGACCGTTCCATTTCGAGGTCATGTTCTCGACGGGACCTCCGGGTCCTCGGCGTATTTCCAGGTCGAGTTTCAACCGCTCGTCCAAGGAAACACTGGGCGCATGCAGGTATTCAGCTTGGTTTCGTTGCATGAATGATGGGGGCGAGATTTCAAGCAGATGATATGTTGACATGTATTTAACTTTGGGAGGAATTCCGCTGGGGTTTGGGGAACTTGGTCCTGAACTGGTAGGTCCTTGGTATTTTTTTTCCGCAGGAAGTCAGTGGAATCATATCCTCGTGGTTTCTCTCCTTGCTGAGGTTCCAAAGCTTCAGCCACGAGCCCTGGGTCCTTGCTCTCAAGGCCACAGAGAGTGAGAGGAGGTTTCAGCCCAGAAAGAGACGTGAAACAATCCAGCCCAAAGAACGCCTGGATGGATGCCCTGGATGTTCTTATTGTTCTTTTCGATGAGCTCAAAACTGTCCAGCTTCCTTTGCCCAAACTCATTTCACAGTACCTGGCCGGCCACAGTTGGGTCGCAGGCGGTCCTGGCAGTCCTCGCTTCCTTCTCCCAGATGTCCCACAACCATCCCCAAACCCATCCCAAAACCCATAGAAAAGCACCTAACCGGTCCCATGTCAGACCTCACCGGTCCGCACCGAGACGCCGACGCTGCCGCGCCAGGAGAAGACCCTTCGCTTCGGTCGTCGCGCAGCTCTCCTGGCCGTCGAGGCGAGGTCGTGCGACGCGGCGGGGCCAGCGACCGGAAGTTGGGCACTTGGGATGGCCATGGGCCATGGCGTAGTCATGTGTTAAATCTGAGTATGATTTGTGTAGCAGCTATACTGAGACTGAGACACTTTTGGGGAGTTCCATTCTGTTTGGTGCCATGTTGCTGACAGATTCGCTCGTGTCGATTGAAAGGCTGGCCACAGCACTGTCCGGGATCCCAGGGCAACGTCGAAGTGACTTCCGTTTGAGGGCGAAAGCGAACAAGACCCTCGGTGGCTACTGGTGCCCTCATCCTTTGTCTTCCTCAATATGGGGGTGAATGAATACTAGACTTGGAGCCAGCCTTATAAATCACGATGTTGTGTTCCACGTGAGTGATAAAGATCAAATGAATGAAATTGAAAATTCTCTGTCTAGTGCAGTCCCCCTGTATTGTATGTCTATAGTCACCTTCTCATCTCTTCTTTTTGAGCTGTTGACCAAATCACTTCAAGGATCTTGGGACTGTCACTGCGATGAGATTCACAAGAGTGCTTTTCTTCTTCTTCCCGCTTGTTTCACCTCCATCCCCCCTGCCCTCCAGGCCCAAACACTCGCCAGCACTCCTCAACGAGCACTCCAGTGGATCCACAGCACGGTCCCGACCCCGCGTGCTCCCGACCCCGCGTGAGAGGTGAAAATGGACGGGTGGACCGGGCGTCAGGAGCCGTCGATCCGATGGAAGGGGAGGAAGGGGGAAGGCAATTGAATTGAAATACCCGAAAACTGGATGCGTAGACCTACCCCAGGAAAAGTGGATGGATCACCTGCAAAACCTTCAAATGCACTGGTTGGTTGCCCCAGACTAGTAGAAGCCCAAAAGGTAGAAAGTCCGGTTAACCTCTATGTTTGAGGGAAACGCGTCGGGGGTCAGTACGTGCATATGACTTGGTCATATAGACGGATAGAGAGTTCTTGTTGGGATGAGTTGCAGAAGAAGGTGTTTTGTCCTTTGCAAAGAAATAGAGATCTATATAACGTTCAGAGTCTTGTCCTTGAATTCAGAGATGAGTTGCTCCGCCGAATAAAAAAGGACCTGCCGAGCCATTCATCCCCAGGTTCGCGGTTCGGAATTCCATTGCAGGAGCAGAGTTCAGCCTGGGGGCTATTTTCTTAAAAGGTTTGAATACAGATTTGTTGACGATCCTTGTGAACCATGAATATACAAAGCAGAGTAAGAACAAATATGAAAAAGACTTGGGGGGATGAGATTCCGTTGCCAATTCATCTCTTGTATCCAATGGCGGACGGAAATGGCCAAACCAGTGAGTCAGTGACCAACGGTTTGGCCAAACCGGCTTGGCTAGAGTTCCATGTGGCGGCTTCCACTTCCACAGCGGGCGAGGGTACTACCAAGGACTAAGCTAAGGCTTGTTCCCAGGCTCATTACCTTTGCCTCAGCATTCAAAACAAGAGGCAACACATTCTTGATTGTAAGTTGTTGTTCACCCCTTTCATCATCCACATCCACTTTGTTTTGAGCCCCTTTCAACAGTTCCCATGCTTGAGGCAACACATTCTTTGGTGATGCCCACCATGACGCTGACCGCTTTTCGGGTCATGGGCACCGACACCCAAGCGACACCGTCGAGACTGGTCGGTGCGGAGGAAAAACGTCCTTCGAGATACACGTCCTACTTATAGATGAGTTGTTCCATCCCATTGCCACGGGCCTTTCATGTGTGTTCTTTTTTCCAAGCGAGCTGACATCACCAACCAGATGAGATTTACCCCAACTACGCAGGCCGTGGTAGGCCTGCTCAACGCTGCAATCCTGGCTCCCTTGATCCGTTTTGCCGTGCTTGCAGCCGCTTTGGCTGTGGTGAAACTGGTACTCGCAGATCAGCTGCAGTGGGCGATGCAAAACAGGTGGACCGATTAAGAAGACTTTGAGGATGACTTGAACTTATTTGAAGACGTCCCAGCTGACTCACTTGACTTGTGCATTTGGATACATTTGTCCGTGCTTGTCTTGATCACCGAAAAGGGCACCAAACGAATCACCGGCTTTTAGCCCACTAACATACAAACAATCACCTATAAGCGTTGTCATTCTGCTCGATATTGGAGCCCCCGGACTACTGCAAACTTCAACCATCTCCCGTAGTTCGCGAACCGCCCGCAGCGGTCATGTCAGCTACCCAGATACAGGCCCGCTGGGGAGCATCAGGTTCGGCATTTTTTCCGTGAGAAGCAAGCAAGAATCTCAAGGCCTGCTGCACATGTTTCACTTTGTAATTTTGTGTCATAAGACACATCTTTTTATAAGACACATTATAGCACGTTCACTTTATAAGACGTGACATGGTGTTATTTGTGTTTTGCTGCTGTATATACATGCTTTTTGTTGGCGTTATTCACCCAGACTCGAACACGTCGCGTTTTAGTTCTTTATTATACAAGACACTGTGGACTGTGGCCTTTGCTGTACTTTGAAAGAGTCTCCTTCCTGTCCGGAGTACGGCCAGTCCAGCAGTTCCATCTCTAAATGAACCAACTGTGGAGGAAGCAGGGTCGATTGGGGGGCTTCCCACCCAGGAAAAGTGGATAACCATTTTTGGGGGATTTGTTTCCCCACTGAAAATCCAACAACCGGTGGATACTTTGGTTAACCGTCGTTAACCTGTATAGATTCTAGGGATTTCTGGCTTCGGGGTCAGGTTTCATGCGTGTTTGGTTGGGGGAATCCGACCGTGAAACCGCGCTTTCGTCACAACGCTCCTTGGCTGAATCCAAATTCCGGACCCAGTAGATCCCACGTAAAAAAATAATTGGAACCATGAGTGTTTCCACCAGGGTTTCTACCAGGACCCACGGTTGGGGTAACCTTCATGGTAAAAGAACAAGAACGCACACACACAGACTCTTTTTGGGGCTATCGATGGAAGCCACTAGACCAGGCCCCCCAAAAGGGGAGTCCTGGTTTTGGCTTGAGTCTTTGGAAACACTGGAAACACCAGCGACCTCGTCGCAGGAGCTCTTCAAACGCTTCGACAAGGATGGCAATGGCAGGACGGGTTTGCGATGAGGTAGCGGCAATGAGGTATGATCGGTTTAGACAGTTTGCCCTCTCAACCGGACATTTGTGCTATACCCGCTACCCTTGAATCTGTACCGGCAGGGGGAATGGTCTTGGGGGATCTTGGGAGGAGAAATCTTCTTGAAAGCAAAGTGCGTTCTGAAACAGGAAGGCCGCAAAGGAGGAGCTGAGGCTTACGGACGAACAGGTAGGTAGCTGCAGAGGGCGAGCAGGAGGGGCCAGAGAGAGGAGGAAGGCCGAAGGCGGACCGCTGGAGAGACTGTCTTGTACCACTTGTACGAAGCCAAGCTTGAGACCATTTCACTTTCCAGATCTTTCCAGTATGATGTAAAGCATCCTCGAGCTAAAGAAAAGTACTTGTGCAGTTTGCACCGTGCAGACATCTGACTGAGCTCCTGAGAACGCTGGCTTACAATCAGCTTGCGGGATACTCGTACTAAGCAAAGCTTTTCAGTTGTACCCTCGAGCGCTCGCGAAGACATGGGTCTCGGTCACTCAGCCCAGAGTGCAAGAGCAGGAGCAGTCGGAGGTGCCCCCTCTCGGGTTCCAGGGAAACGGTGCAAACGTGTTTGCGTACGTTTACCTCCTCCACCTCCGAGCGGTTTTTACTTCTCGCTGAGAGGTGGGTGGTCTGTCTCATCTCCCATGTCGAAGAGGACTTCCAAGAAGTTGAGGGATTTTTGGGGTGCCCGGCATGCGATTTATGTCGCTCACTGGGCTTGTTTCTGGCTGTGTGTTTATGTGTTGTTGTTAAACATATTCAAGAGACCTTGTCCCATGGCCTTCGTTCAAAGGCCTTGAAAGGCATTTGGTTTGGATATGTTTGGATCCTGAAACAGCAGCCCCTTCAGCTGACGCTCCTTCCACCAGCGCAGGATCTCCGTCACAGAGCTCCAGAACGTGCTTACCTGGTCGGGCCAGTTCGGTCGGAGGATTTGGACCCCAGGAGGCTGCAGGTCTGGACCCGCTGGTCTCCATTGAGCTGGTCTTGCTCCTTTGACCAGATGAACAAAGGCAGTGGAAACAAGCACTGAATGCAAACTGTGGCTAGTACTGTGGCACTCCAACTCCTCCACACACCGATTCGAGCTGAGACGCTATGCCCACCCCAGTCAGTGGACTTTTTTCACGAGAAACTGAAGGCATCAACCTGACCAACCCTAGGGCTCCTGGCCCATATCCTCAGGTTCGGTGGTTAGACCCCAAAAATCCACCCCAACCACCTTCGAAACGGAGGTGGTTGGAGCCCTAGGGCAAGCTCCTTTTTGAGCCTTGGATCCTTTCTACATACACCGGCTGGTCCAACTTCCCAAGCTTTGTGGAAAGCCCACAACTGGTCCAACTGACAAGGTGATGGCTGAAGGGTCTGGTTATTGCTTTTAACGGAAGGCCAGGTCAGCTTGAAAATGAGCATGAATGTCGTACTGACCCCTATCAACATCCTTCAATAAGCTTAGGTCTACACTCGGACTCATTCACATGGAAGTGGAAAATCACCTCTTTGTAAAATTGTGTAAAGGAACTTCCTTAACGGGCCCGTGCCATCCACGTCAGAGTCTATCCGAAGGACTTCAGCGGAACCGCTTCATCCAGGATCAGCGAACCGGATCCTCGCGAACACCGGGGCGAAGCCGCCAGGATCAACAAGGACATCACCGTGGCGGAGATCGGGAAGATCTTAAGGGAGGCCCACAGACTTAGTAATACCCGTTAGATCATCCACATTCAACTGAGTCCAACGATTCTGGCGTTATTCAACAGGTTATTTAGTAAGTGTACTTAGTAAGACGACGCCGTTTTTTGTTGAAAGGCTTTGCTGTGGTTTCCAGCTCGAACCGAAGTCGAAGCGGGGACCGAAAAAACGGCCCTGGAGTTCCTTAGAGTTCCGGGCGGGTGCCCTGGATTCACGTTATATATCCCGTTTGGGCGACCCTGTCGTACCTTCGTTTCGGTTGGGACTGGGGTGGGTGCCAGGGTCCAGTCATTCGTCCTGGGGGTACGACTCGAGATGACCAGACAGATCCTCGTCTTCGCCACCAGGTGGATACCAACAACGATGGGGCCATCGACTACAATGAGCCGCTCAATGGCATCAGCCTGGTTTCGATTGTGGGTTTTGGTGGGTCTTGGTTTCGCTATTTTGAGCCATATATAGAGAACCCCAAATAGATAGAAATGTAGATCCCCACTAAAAATGTATTGGAAACCGTTTCTATATGTTTCTATCTATTTGGGGATCCCTATGGATCACAGTATATTACTCGTACCTTGTATCTTCCCTCAGACAATGGAAGCTGAGCACACCATCCTGAAAAAGAGGAAATACGGGTCTTCCTGCTTAGATTCCACTTCGTTTCAAGAAGTGTAGAGATCCAACGGATCATCTTCCAGACTCCAGACTCGGTTGAACCCCAGACTCCAGACTCAAACTTCCAGCGGATCGTCCTGCAGACCATTCGGCATGGCGCAGTTGAGAACTGAAACTAACTGGGTGGAGGCTATCGCTAGTAGGTTGGAGTTGGAGGCCATCGCTTCTAGGTTGGAAGATGTTGGAAGCTATTTGGTTGGAGTTTGGGGTCTGCCTGCGTTAGTCTTTTCCCGTTGGACTGGTAGTTGTTCAAGCGGCTAGTCTGCGATCGATTTCTGTGCTAGTGCTAGTAATGAACATATGATGACATATGTATATATATACATAGAACCATATACTGTATCCCTAGGGCTTGTTGGGGTGGATTTTTTGGGGTCTAACCACCGAACCTGAGGATATGGGCCAGGAGCCCTTCTGAGTATATAGAACCTTTATATATGTGTTTTTTCAGCATGTGTATTTCATGTGTATCGATCTGCAAGAACAAAGGATGGTGGAAGGATTGCCCTTCGGTGATATGCAGTTCCCTATTAGCTGCCCGGGTGGTCGGTGAACAGCGTCGTTTCGGGGTGATCCACTCCCGACCTCACCTGCTGAAGTTTCTGCTCCCGATCCACTCCCAAACCGCTCCAGGATACTCCAGGTGGTGATTTTTGGGAGTCAACTGAGTCTAAAGCTTGGTTTGCCATTTCAAGAGAACCCCGGATGGAAAAAGATCTTCGATTGGATTTCCATGAAAGATGACCTTGACACATCCGCGGGTTTTTCGAGCGAGGTTTGTGGCCTGGACCCAGGGCGGCAAGAAGAGCGTCACGGGGAAGAAGAAGGCCAACCAATGGGTGCCTTGGCGTATGCCGGTGGTTCAGTATCTGAGGGAGAAGGAGGGTATGCTAGGGTAGGGGAAGGTGTGAATTGCATGCTGATGTTTGCTGTAGTTCATCCGGTTGATAAAGAGCAACCAACCATGTTTATATTATAGGTGAACTTCGTCAAGGATCTGGGGCACCCCACTGGAAAGCTTCGTTTGTTCTTTTTTCTTGGAGGCTCTCCACTTGTCTGCATGGCTCGCCCAACGCGAGTGGCTGGTTTGTCCTGTTTGTTTACTGCGCCAGGAATCAAACTGAAGGAAGGAGCATGAAGGAGCTTCCCCCGCTCCGCTGTTTCACAGAACACCTTCCGGAACTCCAGGCTTTACATGGTTTTTACGGTCTCTTTAGAGGCTGAGAGGCCTTAGTCTTGAGCTCATCCTCTGCGGCTTGAAAGTCCCATTGGAAAGTCCTTTGTGGAGACCATCCCTAGAAAGCAATTGCCCAAGTAGAAGAGAACTGTGCATCCCAAGTTTCAGCCGGATAGGTCCACCACCAGATCGACACATTCCGCGGAACCATTTCAGCAGATCGTCCAATCGAGGGTGTTCGTTGTTTCCG